GGTAGAAATAAGAATCTGAAATTTAGTATGTAGATTACTCTATTACAAACAGAATGTCACGCATAATTTTTTTGAAATTAGTACTAAAATTTACTAAATACTGTAGTATAATAGAACCGGAAGAAATGAAAATATGTAACGCGGTACGTAGATTTAACTATTATCAATACTATGCTAGACAGTAATATACTTTTGAAATTAGTACTAAAATGGTACAAAATATAAAATTATAATGGAAAAGATAGAAATTGAAATCTGAAATGTAGTATTAGACTATAACTAATAGAGCGACATGCTCTATAAACAAATTTTTTTCGCCAAAAAGTTTGTAAATTTTACTCACGGTACTAGCAAATACTCAATACAAAAATAGGATCCTGTTATAAATAAAATACTTAACTCTGGCAATTATGACAATAATCATTTATACATATATATATATTTTCAAGAATTAAGTTCTAAAATATTTTTGTTGGACATTTGCGCTTTTTGTAAACGACAGAACGACTATGTTTTTTTTATGTTTTTTTTCGAAAATACTAAAAAGTACAAAACATTACGGGTGGATATATAATTTGGTGTAAGGTTTTTTCTATGAAAAAATGCTTTTCGCATTTTTGTTGGACATTTGCGCTGGCAATTATGACAATAATCATTTATACATATATATATTTTCAAGAATTAAGTTTTAAAATATACTAAAAAGTACAAAACATTACGGTGGATATAGAATTTGGTGTAAGGTTTTTTCTATGAAAAAATGCTTTTCGCATTTTTGTTGGACATTTGCGCTGTACTAAATATTGTAAACGACAGAACGACTAGAGGTAGAGTCCTCAAATTTTTTATGTTTTTTTTTTCGAAAATTTGTATTAGAAAGTACAACTTTAAACTTTGGTTTAAACTTCCGATATAGTGAAAAATGGACGAGACTTCATACACAAATAAGTGAATACTAAATTGTTGGCATTTTTAAATGCAAATGTTTCTAAAATTTCTGTCGTAACAGTACTGATATTTATTTCCAATGATGTTTTAAACCATACTTTTGTAACACGTAAATAAATTTCTAAATTTCTGCAATTTTAATGGAAATCTTCCCTATAAAGGCAGGTCTCTGTATAATAAATGATCCGCTGTGCAAAATATTATATTATAAATTCGTATTATAAGGGTACACAATTACTAAAACGTACTACATAATTTACCATTAGCATGAAATTACCTAAATGACCAAAAAAATTAAAAAACGAACTATGTGCATTGGTCCATCGGGAGAGAAAAGTAATAATAATAATCATATGTTGTACTCGATTTAGTAGAATAACGTATCTGTTCCAAAGAAATGCGGAGTAAAATCAGAGATTTTCTTAAAAAAAATAAGATATAGGACCTATCATTATTTGAAATAGTTCAAATTTATGGTAAATATTAAAATATAAAAAGTATATTGTGTAGCTTTTTTATTTTAACGACACAAAAATTCCGCTAACAACGTAGCGGGCCTATGCTAGTACTATATAAAATATTGTCTTTAGTTTAATACATTTTCTCGATTAGTAATGCTTTTCGATGTATTTTCTATTAAACATATATAAATTTAACGTGCTTACAAATATAAAAGTAATACATTTTTTAAACTTCATCATTTACTCATCTCATGTTTAAGGAAGGCAAAATTTGACTTTTTTAAGTTTGGGTATGTTAAAGTTTCAATGAAAGCTAAAAACTATATACAGTCGACTCCGCTTTACTGTAAGTCGCTTAACTGAAAAATATCGGATAAGTGAAATAGATTTCCTGCACCATTTCATTTTATGTTAGTCGCCCACAATTTACTCCGGATAAGTGATACTTCGCATAACTGAAAATATCGGATAACTAAAATAAATTTTTGAGTCAAATATTGCAATTTCCTTTGAAATCACTCCGCATTACTGAAAGTCATGAGGATGAAAGATAATTAATAATTTTATGGGTTGAGGAACGGGTTTCGAGTAAAAAGTTGCAAAACTTGTAAATTTAGTAGATTCTTTTAGGTTCTGGAACGGAACTAAAATGTTTAGTTATAAAAAAATTATTATTCAACTTATTAAAAATTTGCTTGAAAATATGACACAGCTTGACTTGAATAAAAAAGCAACTATGTATGTGGTGGCTTCTTCTGCCAAATATATAATAAATATACGCAACTAGTGGTTGTGTTTATTTGACATTTTTTCAACACATGGATATGTGTCTGTATTCAAAACAATACACACACAGTTGTTCAAAAAATATCAATTGTCTGTTGATATATGGTTATATAACTAGTTACTTGGAGTTCTAGTTTCTTTATACCCCAAAAAGGGACACAAAATTGAATGTTGAATTTATTTGTCGATTGAAAAAGTTGTCTAAGTATATCATTCCAATTCAGTAGTTACTGGTAATGAAAAGGGTAATGAATCGAGTATGAATATAAAAAAAAAACAGAAGAATTGTTCTGTCATTTTGTTTAGACTTTTTAGAAATTTTCGGAATTTTAAAAGCAAAAATCAAATAGAAATTAGTTTTCCGTAAAAAAAATAAAATTTCAATATTCAAATAAAATACAGATGATAAATCGAAGGTAAGTTTTTTGTAACACAATATAGATCAATGTAATCCTTATACAGGCTTCATTTCCAGATTTCAAAAGCCCCCACAGATTGACAGATTCTTCAAATTAAATATATTCCTAAAGAAGTATTGACATGCCTTCTGTGAAGAGGAAGAGTTGTCACTCCGTAGAGATCCTCAACGCATAACTAAATGCTCAAGGGGTATACTGTCGATTTTCTATAGGTAAGTTTTCTCTAACAAAAAAAGCTTTATGTAGGACTTCTAACTTCAAATGTTTCTAAATCGTTTATTTCAGATAAATTTATTTAGCCAGGGAGACATATTTGAAAAGCACTCGGCCGTCAAAAGAATCGTGAACTATGGACTTTCAGATGGATCAAACAATATATATGTATACAATACTCTGTTATAACAAATATTTTTGTACAGAATAAATTGTAATTTTTCAAACTGTTATACATCTAATTTTCTATACATAAGTAACTACGCATTTTATTTATAGTTTGTATCTACCCAAGTAACTGACTATAAAACACTAGTCAAATATACAATCATTTTTTACTACCGAAATGACTGTATACTGGTAACGCAGACAGGGGACAATTGACTTCCCCAATGACATACCCATGTTAAATTCACCAGTCTAGGGCATGAAGAGGTAACTAGTGGTAGTTACAGGTAATTAGTAAAATAACCAGTTCATAACCAGTTACTCGAACTACTGGGCACATACACAAAATATGTATTTTGATTTCATGGAGCAAACCACAAGTAGTGACTGGCAACTTTTCATCGACTACATCGACGATGAATTTTCATCGATGGTAATTTGTAAAGTAATGTCTCGAACCTTAAAATTTTAATACATGATTACGTGAACTAAGTCATAATATATATATATATATATATATTTTAATATATATATATATATATATATATATTTTAATTTTCCTCTTTATGTTTTTTGCCTTTGGTTAGAAGTAAGGCCGCTTTTAACTTGAAAGTGGTTAAAATTTGAATTGAATTAATGATGTATTTTTTACTTAGATTTGTCAAAAACGAAATCTCTCTCGGAATGTTGCCGATGAATTTAGTTGAAAGGACGAGGCACCACCAAAGCGGTTATCGCCATATAAAATTTGCCAATCAAAAGCATGGTGGGTAATTGATGGATTCATCGACGTAGAGTCGATTAGCGTTACTGCAGGGATGTTCTATATCTACAAAACTATTGACTTACTACTGACCGTGTCCACATATGTGATGCTGTGTCTATATCAAAAAATGACTGACTTACTACTGACCATGACACTAGATCATTCATTCTCAATGACAAGCACATGTTAAATATGAATTGAAAAATGCATTGTGTTGGGTATAGTCCGTCAAGTATTTTGGTTCTTATTATTTTATTAGAAAAAAAATCATTACACCTCGCACGTTCGGTCTTTCTATAACTACCGTTAAGGATAACGATATTTTATAAGCGATTCGGTGACGATTCCAACAAACCGCGGAATTTTTTCGAGAGTATTTTCATACATTTAACTTTAGTTAAATCAAAATAAGAGAGTAAAATGTAGTCGTGGCGGCATAAAAACATTCCAAAAGTGTTTAGAATAATAAAAAGAAGGTTTTGCAAAATAAACAGATCGACCAGTTTATTGCCTGCTGAATTTTATTCGCAACTGATGGTGTTAATCAGAGACAAAATATTGAATGCGCATTCGTCATCAGCTACCCCAGTTTTTCAAAAGACAATAGGACTCGACGAGGAATGATGTTTTTCCCATCTCCATGTACTGTTTTTATATTTTATTATTTTAAACCCGTTCATATCTTTGAATCTGACCTCCTTATAAGCAGAATACTTTTTTGTGATAAAAATTTTTGGGTTGTTATAGATTTTAGCCGATATTTACGAGACCAATAGGTCTTTCGCAGTGATTCTTGCAGAAATAAGATCTAAACATGTCCACTAACATATTCCATCACACATAATTCAATTTACATCTTTAGTATATATTGATATTTGTCAAATTCGTATTGAGGCAAAATACTTATTACACTCACTGTATATACAACAGAACGAGTAATCATTTTACATTGGATAACACGAAGGCATTTTTCGGAATCCCTAATCGGCAATTCTCCCCGTACCTCTTTCTCAACAATACGCTTTTAAGCAATGTTCATCACACTTCATTCGTAAATATTTGTCTGTCCGCTTTGAGTTCCTTCTTCATCAAGCGTTTTGTCATTCTATTCCATTCGTAGCATGTGGAACGTTTTTAATTTTTCAGTGCACGGCGACATCCACATCGATTCGATACATACATCGACATTCAGACAAAGAGTTTATGAGCGAACTGGTTGTGAATCCTAGTTGGCCAATTTGGAGCTCGGATTGGGAGCACGATACGGAGAAGCTCAATGGGTAATAATATAACATACGAAATTGAGGATGACGATGAATATCTGAGCGATGACAGCACAATTAGCGGCAGGGGTGACGGTGAATATTTAAATTTGGCATTGGAGTCAATGCTTCAGGAAATTGTTAATCAAGAAACAAACACGATGCCTCCAGTTATTAGAAAGAAACCAGACTTGAGAGTATTCCGGGTACGTAACATTCTACCTAACTGTATAGGGCAGTAGTGCTAACTGAGTGTCTCTGACTAGCACACAATGATGTACAAAGAAATAAAGGCGCTGAGTGGTCTTCCGGCGAACAGCAGACGACCCAATGGAAGATGGTGTCTAACGCGTGGATTAATGAAACGGGAAAACGGTCTGGCCGGACATCCGAGCGGATCGTTCACATCCAGCCAGCACCGTCGTATAGCAAATTTCTTTGTGCCCAATAAGAAAGTGGATCGCTTAATGTCACTAGACTCGAAAATATTCGTTTGTAAGTTTAACACGGATGGAAGCCGCCTAATCACTGCCTCCCAAGATGACACTGTGCGCATTTTTGACGCTTCCAGAGGAACGTACCATCGGATTAAGCGCCTTAAAGTGAGGGACGCTAATTGGGACATTTTAGACGTGGATTTCAGTCCGTGTGGTCGCTTCTTTGCCTATTCAACATGGACCGATTCGTGTATGCAAGAAATGCTATTGTCATTTAGATCAGTGTTGTAAGTTGTGATTTTTTGGTTTACAGTTCTTGTGCTTCCTGTGGATAGCGATGGCGGCAACGACTGTCAAAACTATGCATTGGGCGTGGAGAGGAATGGTACTGGAATGTTTTCGGTCCGTTTCTCACCTTGCGATAACGGCCGAACACTAATAGGCGGTTGCAACGACTCCAATATTTACGTCTGTGATCGCGAAACCAACCACATTCGAGCACTGCGTACTCAGCCATCCTTTCCTGTAGACATTAATGCTGTCAGTTATGTTTGTGACCAGGACCCTAACCTGATCGTAAGTGGATGTCACAATGGCATTCTTAAGCTATGGGACTTGAGATGTTGCGGTGGTTATGACCACCGGCCAGCAAAATGTCAAAGCATATTTTTAGGACATTTCGATGGGATAACCTATATTGATCCCAGAAATGACGGCAATTATGTATTAAGCAATTCACGGGACCAAAGCATAAAAATATGGGATTTGCGTCAGCCCACACCTTCCAATAAAATAAGGAAACACCCCAGCACTCCGCTTGTAGAGTGGGACTATCGTTTCAGCCAAGTGCCCAGAGAATGTAAGTAATGTACGGCAACCAGTTTCTTTAGATGACTATTTCTAATACATATTATAATTTCCTCATAGACTACAATCCGACAAAGCCCCTGGATGGCGATGTAAGTGTTATGACATATCGGGGACACAAAGTCACAAAAACTTTGTTAAGGGCAAGATTCTCACCGGCAGTACAAACCGGCCAACGTTATATATACACAGGCTGCAGCACAGGAAGGATTATAAGTAAGTAAATGTAATGTGTGAAATAAACGGGTAATGACTGTTCAACGTATCTAACCCATTAATCTTGATATCATATCATGTTTCATTTCCAGTCTACGATGTCCTTACTGGACAAATTAAGGAGGCAGTAGAAAGTCACCGAAATGTTATAAGGGACTTGCACTGGCATCCAATTCGTGGAGAATTAGTTTCATCATCGGTAAGGAAACTCAGATATTCACAAAATGTAACATTTATCAATAAACCAAAATTTAACTCGTTTAGTTTGATGCTCACGTGAATCTGATCATGTACAAAAATAATCCAAATATTAGACCAGAAACCGAAAATGTACAAAGGCCGTTGCGAAGATCTCGCCGTATAGCCCATCGTAAGGGGGAAATGGATGATGAAGGCGAAGATGATGATGACGAGGTTGACTTCTAAATCAAGCATATGTATACATATATTGTAAATATTGCTATAAATTTTTTAAATGCTTACCACTTTGTTATCACTTAATTGAATACCCATTTAAAAATTAACATGGAATTATGTTTTAATGTATCGGCTATGATATTATTTGAGTTTATATATTAGTTTGTAATTCTTAGTTGTACTAATGTATGTTTCAGAATTATTTAAGTTAACAAATATAGTTTAAAATGAATTAACCTTTCAATAGTGATTCTCACACCAGAGAGAAGGCATCTTTCCTTTTCCACTTCTTTACTTTTAACTTAGGCTTGGGTTGTTTATTTTTTCGGGCTTTTATACAATCCCTAACGTATTTGCGATATGTTATCGTTGGTTTCTGCAGATTTGCATACTTGCACAGAGTGTTGCTCCATAAGTTATTGATGCGCTTCTCGTCTTTCTTGTTGGCTGATATAATCAATTCTATGTCTTGGCTGCATCCATAGCCCTCAACTTGGGACAATGTAGAGTTTGGAAAATAGTTAAGATCGACATTTCTAAATTTTTCAGCAATGAATGTTGATATTTTACAGGTATTGAAGCTTTTCAATTTATCTTCGAGTTCGGGCAAAGATAATTGGCCAATAGTTTCCATGTCAAAATTCTCTGAACAAATTTTATTGGATGTGGACTTTGATGTAACAGTAGCATTGGGCGGCGATACATCTTCCTTTTCTGTGACTGATACACTCTCGTGTTCCACCTTTGGAACACCATTTATTGGCATATTTTGATCGACTGTTCTTTCAATGTTAATCAAATCCATTCCAATTTTGTGGTCATCATCTTTATTGTCTTTTCTATTGTGTTTCTTCTTTTTCTTCTTTGTTGTTTCACATAATTCATTTCTGATATTTCCATCCTCTACAACTACCAATTTTTCCTCATCCAACTGCACATTTGCCTTGCGTTTTTCCTTTTTTGCATCCTGATCGTTAGCTGTTGCGATTATCATTTCGGTGTTCTCTTTTTCAACTCCAAAATATTGGACATCCAATTCCGCAATAGCTTCTCGTTTTTTCTTATGTTCTTTCGTTGCATGGGAATCTGTTTCATGTTTTTCATTTAGATCAACATTTATATCACTCGACTTCTTCTTTAGTGAAGCCATTTTCAGTTTAAAATATTCCGATACCGATAGCCCCGTACTAATAGTTTGTACACCACCGAAGTTTTCAGTTTCACTTTTATTTTCCACAACGTCTTTACTTTGATCCGCCCCATTAAAATGTTGATTCATTTGATCAAACAAAGCCTGTTGCTCGTCGTCCGCCGCTTTTTTACCAAATATATTGGCCAAATCTTTCTCGCTGTATTGTGAGAGATCTTTACCTTTCGTGAACTTTTTGTAATGGACACGGGCTTTGCTTTGTTTTGACCGCTCTTCCAGTGAAACTCCACTTATTTCCTCTTTGAGTTTCGCCTTTTTATGCTTCGGTTTGTCAACAGTCTGGAAACCAAATCCCACACGGGGTGCATCATCGTCTTCCGACGACGACTTATTCCCATTCATTTCGATATTGGTTGTAGCACCTTCCGCTGTGTCGTCACCATTGAGGTTCTTTAATAAATCATTAAAACTGCTTTCATGTTGTGTCCATTGATCATCTCGTTGTTCATATCCTAAACCCTGGCTATCGTTTTTGTAGCGTACTCTTACAAAATCCTGGGAGCCATCTTCCTTAGCTCCGAGACCTTTACCTTTCGACCAGCCCATTTTCTCCAACATTTTCGTACCAAATCGTGAATCATCTGAAATAATGCATTTTAAAACGATCTTTGGAATTATTCCAGCAAATTCTTACCTTCATATAGGGCTTTACCCTTCGGAACCAAATTATAACGTTTACGCTGACGGGGTTCTGCTAACATAGCCATAATAGCCACCTATTAAAATTTTACACTTTTGAATAGAAATATTAATTTGAAAGATTTATCCCTGTATTCTGTTCCATAAGTAAAAAACAAAAGCGAGCAATGAGCTCCACGTGCTTAGGGACACGAAAGCCGACATTTGGCATTTTGACATTTGGATGGCACGGCAACCCTAACACCGAACCAATCGATAAGCCATTTTGCAAATTAATCAAATTGTCCGTTCCTGTACTCAAAACTGATAAAACTTACGAAAATTTACTAGTCTATTTCAGACCCTGTATGAATGTACAATTTTTTACTGCGATAACATTTTTTATGATATTAAAGACAATCGCAAAAATTAGTCGATTATTGCAGTACGGGAATAGACCAAGATCTATTAATAAGGTCAACAAGATAGCAATCGAAATCGGAAAACAGCTGTTTTCTCTCAAGTATAATGTCAAAAATTTCGACTTTGTTTACGTTTTCATAATGGAAGTCAATTCACAATAATGCATTTTGACAGCAAACTTGAGAGGTATCGATAATCAGCTGGTCTCCCTTGGTGACCTTATTTATAGGCCATGTTTGCTGTCAAAATGCATTATTGTGAATTGACTTCTACTATGAAAACGTAAACAAAGTCGAAAATTTTGTCATAAGACATGAGAACAATACGTAAACAAAGTCGAAATTTTTGACATTAGACCTGAGAAAAAACAGCTGTTTTCCGATTTCGATTGCTATCTTGGAGACCTTATTAATATATCTTGGAAGTAAGTAATCGATTTATTAAGACTTTTCTTTTCGATAACACATGTAATGTACAGCGAATGATTAGCTATTGTAGAAGTAAAGGGCTAAACAGAATGTTCGCGTTGAGCGTTTTTTGTTATCGCGTTAACGCACGCAAAAAGTTAAAATATATTTAACTTCAAAGCGCAGCGCACATCGACTTCATGCGTTAGTGTTATCGTTTCCTTGTGGTTGTTGTATTTTCCATAACACAAAACGCAACGGATGGCTCAAAGCGAGCATTCTGCTTAGCCCTTAAGTAAGTAAAAATGTATTGAGACTTTTTTCCAGATTACGATAACATTATATTTTTGAACCTATCGATAACAATGTTAAATTGCGGAACTATAAACGTTTTGTTATGTTGCACAGTGATATTCGTACAGGCTACATGCCAAAAGGAAAATGTAATAAAAACAATGATGTAAACAAACGTGATGATTTTTTTTAAGATTTGCTCCCAATCTTTCAATTGACTTGCATAGCGAATTGTCTGCAAAAATCTTACAAATAGTTAACACTTATAACTGAAATAAATAAAAACAATTCGTTATGTTATTGACTAACGATGAACATAAAATAAACAAAATAAAGTATATACGTACAAATTAAAAATTGCATATGCAATAACGAAAGGCGATCTGCAAATAAAAACAGTGATCGCAAAAGTATGCTGATTATAAATTTTCGATACCTTATGACAAAAGAAGTGACATACACAATAAAATAAGGTACTCTTGTGGGAAATCTTAAGCCTAGTAATGTAAATATCACAGATTTGTTGTTTAATACTATTATCCCCTGTGTGTTCCAGGTATTGTCTTGGTGAAAAAGTTTGGTGTTGAATCTTGCCCCGAATCATTGTCAAATCTTATGTTTATGATACCTATAGTAGAAAGGTAAGCAGCTTCTGTCCAATTTGTATTCTCTTCAGCAGTAAATAATTCATTCAACAGAATGTTGTCAGGTGCAGCTAAGTTTTCTACAAATCTACTTTGCAGGTTTAAGGCATAACTGAAAAATGGCACAATATTGGCTGAGCTGTAAATGTACTGGTTGGAGAACCTTTTAGTTGGATTTTGAAAGTTTTGGCCAACACATTTTCTCAAAATTTTCCTCTCAAACGTCTCAATTTCTTTAGCTACAGATGGCGAAATGGTGAAACAAATTGTGAATCCATATCCAATTTGGAGGAATCTCTGAATGGAATTCCAATGCCATCCAATGAGAGATGCTGTCTCTTCGCTTCGGGAACAACGCTTCTATGACATTTCTTAGATGCATTTCTAATACATATTGCTTCCGATTTAGCTGCATTTAATGTGATTCCCCATGTTTTATAATATTTACTTTATCGCCAAGGTGAAGATCGGCTTGCTTTAAGGCTTCAGCGGGTGAGTTATGGTGACTATATACTAAGCAATCGTCAGCATACAATATGGCTTTAGAATGTTCTGTTTGATGGGGGAAGTCGTAAAGGAAACGATTAAATAGAAGGGGCGACAGGACACTGCCTTTAGGAACTCCACTCGATATAGATCCAAAACTGGACAGACAATCATTAATTATGACAGTAAATTTCCTATCTGTCAAGAAAATTTGTAAAATTTTGATTAATAATGGGTCCACACTAAGTTATATTAATTTGTAGATTATCCCCTTGTGGTACACAGAGTCGAACGCCTTTTGAATATCAAGGGAAATCGCTACCGTGCAGAACTTTTCTCTCAGGTTACCTGTTATGTCTTCACGAAACTTCAGTAATGTGTGATTTGTTGAATGAGCCGCTTTAAATTGCCAGTCGGAAATCGGATGTATCACAAACTCATTTTCTAATCTTTCCCGTAAAATTCTCTCAAAAACTTTTCCAATATTGGATAACATAGATATTGGACGGAATTCTTGAGATGTTATACTGTTTATTTTCTTCTTGATTGGTATAATTTTTGCAATTTTCCATGACTTAGGGAAGTATCCATTGTTCAAACAGTTGTTAAATATAATTGTTAAGAATTTCAAAGATTCATCAGAAAAATTCGATTTTTTTCTATTCACACTTACAATGTGCGTTTTTATGGAAGATACATTTGTAAAGTGGTAGTTGTCTGAATTGTGTAATGAATTAAATCCATCATGAAATGTGTATATATGGCTAGAAATTGGATTTAAATAACTTTAAATAGCTGTAATAGTCATGGAAGGCGTTTGCGATCTCTCTACCAGCAGTAAAAGCCACATTATCCATCTGTAGCTGTTGACAAAATTGTGCTTTAGATTTTCCAATTAGTTTGTTGACTTGTTGGAAAGCTGATGGACTGGGTTTTATATTTTTTAATTTAGAGTTAAAAACTTTAGCCTGCTCTTTGTAGATATAATGTTATAATGTTTTTGAGTAGCTGTATCTGTTTGGACAATATATTATATTCATAATTTGTTCTATTGCCATTTCGGTGAAATATTTTTTTAGGTCCTTTTGCCATTGATCTTTGATTTTGTAAAACCTCTTAATATTTCCAGGTAAGAGGATTTGGTGCTTTTTTTAATTCAATTGTTTTGCAGTGCTGTTTGTGTATGTCAATTTATGCAATTGTCAATTTCATCATTACCAAGATTTCTGTTTGCAGGTGGTAAAATGGATTCCAATACAGAATCAAACTGTCGACGAAACATACTCCAATACGTGGACCTATAAGAAATAACCACTCTGGGAGTTTTGAGGATGATACCACCTGTATTGAACGAAATATCCAATTTAAGAGGGTAATGGTCAGAAAATGAGGAACTACTGGTTATTCTGTAGTTGCCTGCATCTGTATCTATAAGATTTTGGGCAGAAAGTGATCCAAATAAGATGGTCCATTAGGATATGAAGGAGAAGAGTCACATATTCGAGTAACGTCTGTGGCATTATCAAGCAACCAATTGTAAAGTGTCCTTCCGTTGGTGTTGTCCATTATATCACCCCATGTCGTGTGCCTAGAATTATGATCTCCTCCAAAAATAAATCCATCATAATTATTAGTAAACTGCAGACAATTATTTAGACCATTGATTAACTGTTGTGTGTTGAAATTGGTTGAGATATACAGTGAACCTAGTAAAAATTTCTGCATTGAATCTCAATAAAGACTGCATTAAAATTTATATTCCCAACTGCCGTTTATGTAGCTCGATCTGACGACTGCGATCCACTAGAGATCGAACATTGAAGGTTATACATTTTAAGAACCTATGGACCATAAGTATCCTTAACTTTTTTTTTAAAAGACGCATGAATTCGTCTTTAGCTTTATTCTTTGACATATTGTTGAATTCTGCCAGAAATATGTTTATTTCTTACTCTAGAGTTAGTTCCTCTGGTTGCAGGAAAATATTTGACAATTTTAAAAATTCGTTAATAATTGATGGTTTGCTACTATGGCTTGTTGTAGGATGAAAATGACTTGCAAATGTTTTATCTGCTGTAACATGATTGTTGGACATGATATGACTTACATTTTCTTTTGCTGTTTTTTTAATGTTTATCGCATTTTGAATGTGCTCTCTTCTCTTAGCTGCATATTTTTTAAATACGGAAAACCTCTCCAGTTTGCGGTATGTCCATTAGAATGGCAATTGATACAATATGGATCAGAGCAATCCGACTTTGATCTTTGACATTCTCCTGCTGTATGTTTCTGGTCACATTTTACGCAATTATATTGAGAGCCGCAGTTTTTCGAGATATGACCCCATCCTTGGCACCTGCGACATTGTATTTCGTTATTTTTCTTGTTTGGTCTTTCCCATGTGAGCGATTGCTTATGCAGATATTTAATATGTGAAATATCGCTTAATGATTTACCAGGATTAAGAGTCACCAAGAAAAGACCAGTATCCACATTATTTTTAATTGATCTGGAAGTTTCGAATTTTGATACCTTGGAAATAACTTCGGGCAATACTTCATCAAAGGCATTTTTGACATATTCAGCTTCAACGCCATGACACGGTCCCCTTAGTATAAATGACACCTGCTTTAATTTTTTTGGTGTAAAGGAGTACGCGTGAACAGACTTTTCACGAAGAGTCTCTAGCATAGCAGTGTGGGATCAGACAGATATAATTTGCATTTAATTGTACCAACATTTTTTATTTTGAAATTAATTGGTGGCGACTTATCCTCTAATTGTTTAATTAGGCGTACGACATTAATATTATATAAAAATATTGAGGTGAATTTTTTGGATCAATGGTATTGGTTTGCGGTGCTTGTTGAATATTTTTAAATTCCAGATCTGCAAACATTGCATACCTGTTCTGGTTATTAGGATCATATTTGAACCCCGATATGTCTACATCAGTTGGTGGTGTATTGTCTTCTAACCGTAGACGCTTGCCATAATTGTTGTTTTTGTTAAAGCCATTGGCTGAAACTGGCTGCCAGTAACCGGCCTAAACGGTTACTGGCAGAGCATTTGACGTCTGCCAAAATAAATAATCTTAAAAACTACATAACAAAAACAATGTTGTGTCTGCTTCAATATGATAAACAGAGCGTTTACAAATGTAAACAAAAGAGTGTGTGAAAAAGAATTTAACAATGAGTGGTCAATTAAGATAAAGTGAAAATATATAAATATAAAAATTGAAACTTAAAATATATATATCACAGAAAATATGAATTGTTCGGAATAACATAACTAGTGTAAATGAATTAAAAGAACTTATAAAATATCACAGTTGATTCGATTGCACAGGTATAAATAATAATAACAACATATTGTTTTAATATAAAACTGTGCTGTGGTACTGTCTGGAACCGGATCCAATATTTCATTTAAAATGCCAATTGTGGAGAGATATGAAGATGATGCTCATATAAAATGTTTGTCTCTGTCATAAATTTCATTCATAAATATGTTATCGTGAGATGGGAGTTTCTCGACGAAGCGTTTTTGGAGGTGAAGGGCATAAAAACTCAATGGTTCAACTCCAGAGGTGTCGTAAATGTATGTATTGGAAAACATTTTCGTTTGATTTTCATATTTCTTTCTCTGTTTATTGTAGATCTCACATATGTGTTAAATTTCAGCAGCTTATCAAAAGTAATTCCGAGAAATTTTATGCTTGAGTGAAATGGTATATTAACACCATCCAATGCCGTTCGTAGTACCTTAAGGGCTAAACAGAATGTTCGCGTTGAGCGTTTTTTGTAATCGCGTTAACGCACGCAAAAAGTTAAAATATATTTAACTCCGAAGCGCAGCGCACAACAACTTCGACAACACATAACGCAACGGATGGCTCAACGCGAGCATTCTGCTTAACCTTTTACCGTGGCACCACATGTTTTGCGCACTTCCCCGATGCATTTCGTATGCAAATAGCCTGGGATTTTAAAGCATTAATACATATACCCCACGTTTTATAATATTGATTTATTACGTGCAAATGTTCTTCCGCTTGATGTAATGCTTGTTCTGGGGAACGGTTTTGCGCATATATTAAACAGTCGTCCGCATACAGAATTGCTTTCGAGTCAGCGTGGTGTGAGGAAAATCATTAAGGAATAAATTGAAGAAGAACGGAGCCAGAACACTTCCTTGAGGAACTCCACTGTTTACTGGACCATGGATGGACTTGTCGTTCTTAATTTGAACAGACAGATAACTGTGCATTATCTTGACTAAGAATGGATCAACGCCCAAGTCTATCAATTTATAAATGATTCCTTTATGGCAGACTGAATCAAATGTCCAACGAAATGGCTACAGTGCAGATTTGATTTCTCAAATTTGCTGTAATGTCGTTGTGGAACTTTAGAAGAGCGTGTTGTGTGGAATGCATACGCTGAAACCCAAATTGAAAGTTGGATATTGGATTAGTAATGAAATCATTTGGGACAATTTTAGCTAGCTTCCAAATTTTGGGAAAGTAGACATTGTTGATGGAATTATTGAAAATACATGTTAAAATGCGTAAAGCTCCGTCGGGAAATTTGCGTATAACAAAATTCGAAATTCCATCATCACCACTTGATTTTTTATTACTAATTCTTAGAATAATTTCCTTTATTTTTCAGGTTTGGTGAAATGATAATCATCGTCATTTAAAATTGCGTTAAATTGGTTGTCAAAAGTATAGATTCGTGGAACAGTGGATGTGAGATATGACGAAATTGTAGATTAAAGAACCTCCTCCCGGAATTCTGGAACAGTTTCACGGAAGCAAGACGAATAATATTGATGGAATTGATTTGCTATTTCGGATAAGTTGGATGAGTTGAACACAGTGCTATTGTCAACATGCAATTGCTGACAAAAGGGGGATTTCCTTCTGCTGCTAAACTTATAGATTTCCTTAAAAGCGGACGGACCAGGTTTGATATTTTGTAGTTGATTGTTAAATATTTTTTCTTGTTCAATTCTAATTGACTCTTTTATAATAATTTTTAGTAACTGAATTTGTTTTGATATTATGCGATACTCACTGATCAATCTATTTCCAGTTCGGTGAAATATCTTTTTTAATTCTTTTTGCCAATTTGTATAGCTTTTTGGATCTTTCCGAAAGCGGAAACAGGCCATTTCATATTGTGACACTTTGTGTGTGGGCATCGTGAATGGAGTTGAAACAGCTGTTGAATTCATCAATTAATCCAGCGATTTCGTCGTTATTGAGATTCGTTTCTGGCAGATGTAAAATTAATTGAGATGCATTATCAAAATCTCTTCGGAAATTTTCTCAGTTTGTGTCTTTGTAGGAAGTATATGATTGGGGAACATTTAATATTAGATCAGAACAATTCATCTTGATTGATAGCTTCAGCGGGAAATGATCGGAAAACGTGGGTAATGATGAAATTGAAAAATTTGGTGTAATATTATCTGGTAATTTGGAGTTAATCAGAAAATGATCTAGATAAGATAGCCCGTTTGGAAAAGATGGTGACACATCGCAGGCACGAACCACATCTAAAGAATTGGATTGCAGCCAAGACTTCAAAATTTTACCATTGGAGTTCTCAGCAGAATCACCCCATTCTGGGTTTCTGGAATTTAAATCTCCGCCCAGTATAAATCCATCAAATTGTGCACATATTTGCAGGATTTTATCGAGATCAGCTTCTAAGTGATGAGCAGAACAATTTCCCGGAACGTATAGGGATCCAAGGGCAAATTTCCTGCGGACTGAATTTTGCAAAGCTTCGATTTGTAGTATACATACGTTTATACTAACATCCCTGATATCAATTTTCGTGTATTGTATGGATTTTTTGATAAGAATGGCGACTCCAATAGGTGAGTTGTCAATAATAGCGTTGTATCCGTCGACTCTAGTCTTTCTGTTTCTTCGTAGGTGACATTCTTGGACAAATCCTACATCGATGTTATTGTTAAAAAGCGTTTTTTGGAAATCTATTTCTCTACTTTTATCATAAAGAGACCACACATTGAATGTTAATAAATTAATCATTCTTGGATTGTGAATTCGTCTTCATTGGCTTTTGCCTTTTCCATATTTTCAAATTCGTTCAATAATAAAAAGTTGGCCAGTTTTAAGAAATCCTCCACTATCGAGACATGCTCATTGCATTGTTTACATTTCTGATAGCGGTGGCTTTTTCTTCTTGCAATTTGCAAAGAAACCAACACCAAAAACAATCCTGTGCTAAGTCCGTTTTTTAGTTACATAGGCGTATTGAATTTTGTCGCTGATGCGACTGTGTCTGGCACTATATGATCTAGCTGCACTATATGCAGGCATCATTAATGCAAGCTGATGCCTACCAAGTTGAATCTTCCAGTAAAATTTAAAATAAAAATTTGATTATCTTTAAGCTCAAAAAATTACGTCCGATCCAAATGGGATATGTAGATCGACCCGGGCACAATGAATAGGTAGTCCATTTAGCGCCGCTGATGTCTTGATTAGCTGTCAAAGTGGGTAAAGGGCTAAGCAGAATGCTCGCGTTAAGCCATCCGTCGCGTTATATGTTATCGAGAATACAACAACCACAATGAAACGATATGCGTTTGTGTTATCGTTTCCTTGTGGTTATTGTATTTTTGATAACAGTTAACGCGACGGATGGCTCAATGCGAACATTCTGCTTAGCCCTTTAAACTTAAAATAAATGGTCTGTTCCCGTAATGCAAGAATCTATTCGATTTTAATATTTTCTTCGATATCATAAAGGAAAAAAGAGTTATCGGAGTAAAAAATAGTAGATTCATGCAGTACGGGAACAGACCAAAAACGCTACAAAACTTGCCTAATGCCATGTACAGACGAGCGTTGTTCGCTCTCTCATTCGTTGTTCGACCCTTAATTATGAAGGAATTACTTAGTTCCCCATACAAAATTGTCTGAGCGAACACCGACTTTTGTACGTTGTTCAATTCGAATCACTCTCTGAATAACCAATAAATTTGTCCCATCCCTAACAATTGAGAGTGTTTATCGAAAATAAATTAATTTTGACAGTTTGAAAATATTTATGAAATTTTCAAACTTTTTCAGTAAAATTGAAAATCATGAATGAAAAGTAAAAAATTGTATAGTTTTTATATATGCAGCAGGATGTAATTTTTATTTTCTACATAATGCAATATGCATTTCTTTTCCCTTGGTTCTAATTAGCGTACAAAACAAGAAACAAATGTGGGGCAACTCAAACAAAAAAATTCTCCAAATTTTTATTTGTGACGGTATGTGACATTTGAATTGAGAAAATATAAAAATGTATTAAAAACAACAACATTTTCAGATAAAATGGAAAACTAAAATATGTTACATTTTTTGGTGTAAAACAAGAAACAAAAAGTTTGAAATAAAAAACTCTGATGATATGAATTATGAATAGTGTTGTATGAACGGGTTAATTCATGTACGTAATTTTGAGAGCGAACTACGTTGTTCGGATGCCCGTCAGAACATGGCATAATCTAAATCACGATTTAAACTGGCAACAAAAACGATAACATTAATCGAAAAAGAAAAACATCAGTCGAATTACATATACCTATTTCGATTGTAAATAACAGGCTGAACAACTGACACAGAATCGAAATCGATTAGACAAAAAATCTCAAATAAAACAAAACACGAAAGAGAGATAGAATACCAAGCCTGTGATAATGATTAACTTCGGTAAAAAACGCAATATTTAAAAATATTCAATTGCACAATATAGTTATATTTTTCGGTAGTGTGATATCAGCCCGACTTTTTACTTTTTTTTAATAATAATGACCATATTATTCGCGGAGATAAATATTTAGAACAGTCATTTTAACTAAATAACGCGCAATAAATTACAACAAATTAAGAACTGTCTGCCTTTTGTTCGTACGGGCACAATTTATTGTTTGCTTTATCTGTATATGCTCCTGTCAGGCACTTCCGATTCGACGTACATATGTGTTCTTTTGTTTTGCAGATAACAAGTAGAAAAATAACTTGGTTCGCAGTTCGCAGTTTGGTGTTCAATGTGTTGAATATAGACCCACAGATGACCACAACGTCGTATATATATTAAGGAAACAGCAACAGAAAACATTAAGCAAACTAGGCTCGGAAATGTTGGAGACTCCGAAAATATTGGACCAAGACAACATGAATTATGGCGGTAGTCGGGCGTTCAACTGGTTGGCTGACCTCAGTGGCCTATCCGTTGATTTGGTAAGTGCGGAATATATGTATTTTGAAGGGGGGAAACATTTCATTATCTAACGAAGTGTTTCAATGTTTCACCTCTATAACACGATTATTTTGATTCGATTCCCAAATCTTTGTTTGGGCTATGTCCCTTGCAAATTACTTGCAAGACTCGTAGTATTGAATTAGTTTGAGGATTATATCAGATCCTACAGAACAGTGTGACCATTATTTGTCGGCGTATTTGCGGATCGCTGATAATGTCTTTAAAGGTCAAATTCTGCTATGAATACATCCCAGTGTGGCCATGTAGTGTCCCACGATCCACGATCTTGATTTGTATACAACGCCAATACATACGCAATCGGGTTGCCGTAGTATTTAATTGAAAATAAACAAATCATTTCACTGTCGACTCATTTTATTTTAGTTGTTGTTGTTGTCGTCGTTTTTGTTTAACGCATATCATTTATGAATTTGAATTACGTCATACGGATGAGTTGTTGGTAAATACAAAAACGTCTAAACTAAAATAATTTCAATATAATCATACTAATACATTGACCCGATTTCGAATTTGGGTTTGTTTCAATTTGTAATGCGTTACCAATTTAGAGTATGTGTATATGGCCCGACCATATATATATATATATATATATATGTAATATGATTGCACGAACATGTCTGGAAAATAGAGACACGTGACTTGTCAATGTTGATTTCCACAATTTATTCCATTGCCAGTTTCATATAAGTGCAAAGATCGCTTTAAAAACAATATGGGTTGAACGTTGATCTATGATATAAAGATAAACCTCTCTTCATATTCATTTCGTGCAGATATACATTCAAGAGATATAAAATTCCAACAATAGTACACATGTACATATATGATAGGTGTATTTTATATAAAAATATAGCATACTAAAATATATAATTTTTGCAAGGGAATCGAATCTTTTTGGAAGTTGTTTTAGCAGTTGTGAAAATTAGCCCTAATTATTGAAGAACTTGAACTACACATGAATTCTTCCGAAAAACCATGTAGGGAATATCGTTAAATGTTTATTTCATCATAATGATGGATGAGGGCTTATGGTGTTAAGCTTAGATATATGCCAGAACGCATTTAATATAATGTAATCTTACAATTACAACTTCGATATTTCAGCTAATCTGTAAGGATGTAAACGAAATATTCAAGTCAATTTACTTAGCTTGTTACATGAATCCCCTAATTTCTAAATTTGTTTTCGATATCATAAAGGAAAAATTGTGATTGTAGTGAAAATTAGTAGATCCTTCCAGTTCTGGAACAGACCTAATATTTATTTAATTCAGAGGATTTAAATAGTCAATTCAATTGCATGTAAAAATGTTCCAACCCTGGTGTCTGCTGAATCAATCTCTGCATGGTGTTTAGTTTAAAAACAAAAAGAAAAGAAAAAAATATTCTTAAAAATTATTATTGAAGTAGTACAGTAATCTGGCAATATTTACAATATTAGAAGTATGGTAACATCCCTGAAACAGCGCTGACCTTGGCAAAGGTATATTCATGCGGTATTTAAATTATTGAATATTTGTATCTCACGTGATAGTTGTTGACGCTGTCGGTTTATGTGCTACAATTTATATATTTGTTGCCAAAAAAAAAAAAAAAATTAACACGTGAAGTGTGTGTGGGATACGAATAACAATTTATAATATATGTAACATGCAACGGGTATATGCACCGATGGGGGATTGTATGTGAGGAAACTCATCGCAAAAGCATTTGCCTGCAGTAGATTTTTAGTATGTAGTTCATTTAAAATGCAATGTTGAGATCCGAATAATAATATCTAATAATGGGACAATGAACTCTTTTATTTATAATATTCTTAAGCTGCATTTTTATTTTGTATTATGCTTTTTGTGTCGTCTTTGTCAATTATATACACATTAATCTAATGGCACATATAAGAAGTGAATTGAATTCAAACGATAAAGACAGTATACACAAACACCATTTTTAAAAGGGGAGAGGGAGGGGGTCAACTTTGAACACATTTTTTCCCCTACAAGCATCATAAAATTAATATTCGACAATGAAAAAAAAATCAGATAAAAAACTGTTAAGCAGAAAAAACATCAGTTTATATGATATTGTAAAAATGAAAGTCCACTAAGTTTCAGGTTGGTTTATCGGTGTTGGATATCAAAAAATAGTAAAAATTAGCAGATTCTTGCAGTAAAGGACGGGACACAGTTTGGGCTTGATAAAGAGTTGGCGTTTTGTTTCGGAAAGGTTGAAATGGATAATTGTGAAATAATATTTTAATCAAATTTTAAGTTGAAATGTAACGTATATAATTACCTTGTCGTTATCTAAAAAAGTGCACACTTCTACCAAATTGAAAAATTTGGGAATTGTCGACTCATCATAAGTTTTTATCTGGCTTCCAAAATCGACTATGTTATCTATAGTAGACTATATATGTATGTATATATATATAGCCCTCATTCGTATTGAGTCATGTCTTTAAATTATTTTTAAAAATATCATTGGAAACGCTTATTACCCATTGCGCTCAATAGTAATATTGAGGGGAGGGAAAATTGTACATATTATCTACATACGTATTTCCAATAAACACATGCATACAGTTAGTCTGTTCCCGCAATGCAAGAATCTTCTACTTTTTACTAAGATAACAATTTTGTTCTTTTATGATATCGGCAGAAATAGTAAAAACTAGCAGATTCTTGCAGTACAGGAAAAGACCAGTTATGTGAAATAAGTTCAATACTCTAAAATGTATATCAATTGCAATTACTTATGTTTACTCTTACAACGTCGATAATCATGTTTATGCATAATTAAAAGATTATACACCATGCAGAAACACAAATTTGCATATGTACAAAGCAACATCTTTGCGATTAATTTGTAAATAAACAGTATAAATTATTTGGGGACGTTATCTTTTTTCCTTATAAAACAAAATAATGAACTGTAAATTCCTAACAAATTTTTGGTCTGTTCCCGTACTGCAAGAATCTACTACTTTTTACTACGATAACTAATTTTCCTTTAGGCTATCGAAGAAAATAGTAAAATCTAGTAAATTTTTGCAGTACGGGAATAGACCATTTATTACTTCAATATCAAATGCATATATTAGTTCATATATCAAAAAATTAGTTCAGTTAAAAAGGATCAACAGCACTCATAGAATGAAGAAAACAATGATTTATATTATCACGTAAAGAATCACGTTGAGAATCAGTAACAAAAAATCAATTTTGCTAAACTAAAACTAAAATTTTATTTTACAGATTTTTACTTTTTTGAGTTAATCATTAAAATTATTAGCAAGTACTAAAAGCCAGAAAATATGCGCAATTAGAAAATATTCTCATCATTATAGGGAAAAATAGACACAATAGTAAACACAAGTGCAGGCAATATGGAACACTTTAAGTCAACTTGAAAAAAAGCAGCACAAGATGAAATTAGTCCTTGGTAGATGGTCACCTTCTAATATGTCGACAACCAACCATGAATCGCAAGTGATGAAAAACAAAAGCTACAAGTTCTAACAACGCATCCATACACAAATTAAATATTGCTATGCATTGACGAGATTATATAATAAAAAATTAATGTTCCCCACAACGTGTATGTTCGAAATGTTAGCAGAAATAAATTTGGAGCTAATTCACATTCATAAAAAAACTATATATTAAATGAGATTTTAAAATAAGCATTATGGGAAATTTTAGATTTTTTAAAATCAGCTTTATGAGATTTTAAAAGAAGATTTTTGAATACTAGTTTCATGGAATAGTAATGCAAGGTAAGTAATACTAGTGTTTACCTCATTCCATCGAAAAATTTGCATTTATTTTTTAAAAAATTTAATATTTTTGAATTCTCAAAATAAAATTGAAAAACGTGAATGAATCTATCAAATTTATATTTCTATCGCCTCCACGTCTTTTCTCTTATTGAGCCATTGCCAGTTCATGAGTGACACATATGAAAACTGTTAAGCAGAAAAAACATCAGTTTATATGATATTGTAAAAATGAAAGTCCACTAAGTTTCAGGTTGGTTTATCGGTGTTGGATATCAAAAAATAGTAAAAATTAGCAGATTCTTGCAGTAAAGGACGGGACACAGTTTGGGCTTGATAAAGAGTTGGCGTTTTGTTTCGGAAAGGTTGAAATGGATAATTGTGAAATAATATTTTAATCAAATTTTAAGTTGAAATGTAACGTATATAATTACCTTGTCGTTATCTAAAAAAGTGCACACTTCTACCAAATTGAAAAATTTGGGAATTGTCGACTCATCATAAGTTTTTATCTGGCTTCCAAAATCGACTATGTTATCTATAGTAGGCTATATATGTATGTATATATATACATATGTATATATATAGCCCTCATTCGTATTGAGTCATGACTTTAAATTATTTTTAAAAATATCATTGGAAACGCTTATTACCCATTGCGCTCAATAGTAATATTGAGGGGAGGGAAAATTGTACATATTATCTACATACGTATTTCCAATAAACACATGCATACAGTTAGTCTGTTCCCGCAATGCAAGAATCTTCTACTTTTTACTAAGATAACAATTTAGTTCTTTTATGATATCGGCAGAAATAGTAAAAACTAGCAGATTCTTGCAGTACGGGAAAAGACCAGTTATGTGAAATAAGTTCAATACTCTAAAATGTATATCAATTGCAATTACTTATGTTTACTCTTACAACGTCGATAATCATGTGTATGCATAATTAAAAGATTATACACCATGCAGAAACACAAATATGCATATGTACAAAGCAACATCTTTGCGATTAATTTGTAAATAAACAGTATAAATTATTTGGGGACGTTATCTTTTTTGCTTATAAAACAAAATAATGAACTGTAAATTCCTAACACATTTTTGGTCTGTTCCCGTACTGCAAGAATCTACTACTTTTTACTACGATAACTAATTTTCCTTTATGCTATCGAAGAAAATAGTAAAATCTAGTAAATTTTTGCAGTACGGGAATAGACCATTTATTACTTCAATATCAAATGCATATATTAGTTCATATAACAAAAAATTAGTTTAGTTAAATAGGATCAACAGCACTCATAGAATGAAGAAAACAATGATTTATATTATCACGTAAAGAATCACGTTGAGAATCAGTAACAAAAAATCAATTTTGCTAAACTAAAACTAAAATTTTATTTTACAGATTTTTACTTTTTTGAGTTAATCATTAAAATTATTAGCAAGTACTTAAAGCCAGAAAATATGCGCAATTAGAAAATATTATCATCATTATAGGGAAAAATAGACACAATAGTAAACACAAGTGCAGGCAATATGGAACACTTTAAGTCAACTTGAAAAAAAGCAGCACAAGATGAAATTAGTCCTTGGTAGATTGGTCACCTTCTAATATGTCGACAACCAACCATGAATCGCAAGTGATGAAAAACAAAAGCTACAAGTTCTAACAACGCATCCATACACAAATTAAATATTGCTATGCATTGACGAGATTATATAATAAAAAATTAATGTTCCCCACAACGTGTATGTTCGAAATGTTAGCAGAAATAACATTCATAAAAAAACTATATATTAAATGAGATTTTAAAATAAGCATTATGGGAAATTTTAGATTTTTTAAAATCAGCTTTATGGGATTTTAAAAGAAGATTTTTGAATACTTAGTTTCATGGAATAGTAATGCAAGGTAAGTAATACTAGTGTTTACCTCATTCCATCGAAAAATTTGCATTTATTTTTTAAAAAATTTAATATTTTTGAATTCTCAAAATAAAATTGAAAAACGTGAATGAATCTATCAAATTTATATTTCTATCGCCTCCACGTCTTTTCTCTTATTGAGCCATTGCCAGTTCATGAGTGACACATATGAAAATTTTGGAAATTGCGAATAATCTACTGCTTCAAACTTTCCCAGCAGGCAGATTGAATAAATTGGATACGGGAGTATATATAATGAAGGACAATTTCAAATTTTATTCGTACTAAATTCTCCTATTGGGTTATTTTTAAAAACGTGTCTTTTATAAACAAATCAGCTGGGTTTTACAATTACCTTGTATTGTACCATGTATAAGTTTTTTATAGAACAAAATATAATACCTATTAGCTCATACAAAAATGAAAATATTCAAATATAAGTGAACGATAGTCAACCTTATAATATGTGTTTTTTTATACATACTTTTAGAGGTGGTTATAAACAGACTTACGTCTGCAATTATATGCTACCGAATATTGTTTCACATACTTATTAAGGCGTAATGGAGAAAGAAATGACTTAAAAATAATCTTACAAATAAACCTTGAGTCAGAATTTATAAATTCTCAGTACACAATTGCCTAAAATGTATCTCTCATCTTGGAACAACATTCTGGAAAAATGTATTACTGATTGAGGAGAATGAAAAAATTCATCTCAATTATTTTTAAATTAGCTTTAATTATTTTAATTTATTTATATTACAGGTCAACTTCTTAATATGCCAAATATCCGCAATCTTCCTGGCATCGCTCTATAGATCGGCACTCCATCCCTCCAAAGTATCTTCCAACGTCCGACACATCGTTGCACTTAGCATTGGCTTGGTATTTGGATATTTCTGTTTCGGACCACAAGCTATACACATCGCTGGTCTTCCGGCAGCATGCTATGTTGCCATTCGTACGCAGAGCCCAAAAGTTGTCCAAAGGTAAGATGACTACTGACCGTCCTTTGTAGTACTCACGCAAGTGCAAATGACTTTGTTTGCAGGACGGTAATGGTCGTAGCTATGGCATATTTGTTAACAATACACGTGTTGCGACAAATTTATGACGATGGCTCCTGCTCCCTGGACATAACGGGTCCTCTCATGATCATTACGCAAAAAGTTACTAGTTTGGCATTTAGCATTCACGATGGATTTGTACGACAAACCAAGGTAATATAAACCAAAGTAATACTCTAAAACAATTATTTGACTCATAAATTTGTCAATGTTGCCAACAGGATTTAACCAAGGCACAGCAGTATCATGCGGTCAAAAAGTTGCCCACGGCATTGGAGTATTTTTCATACGTTTTGAATTTCCAAGGATTAATGGCTGGACCATTGGTGTTCTATAAGGACTACATCGATTTCATTGAAGGCTATAATCTGAGACCTGCCGTAAACGTAATTTGGATTCTTTCGTAGCACGTTATATATTATAGTTGAGTTGGTGTATTTTTTTACAGGCATCGTCCGATAAGGGGAAAGCCGAAATGGTTTTGGAACCGTCGCCTGTAAAAACAGTGGTCAAGAAAGTCATCGGTAGCTTTATATGTGCATTCATTTTCATGAGGTTTGTCAAATTGTACCCGATAAAAAATCTAAAGGACGACGATTTTGTTGAGAACACCACGATCACATACAAAATTTGGTATGCCATGATGGCTACCACTACAACTCGTTTTAAGTATTATCACGCATGGCTATTGGCCGATGCTATAGCAAATAACTCAGGATTAGGCTTTACGGGTTATGACAAGGACGGCAACGCCAACTGGGATCTCATCTCTAATATAAACGTATTTGGCTTCGAGGTGAGATATATCAGCCAATAACAACCGATAGATTTGTTGATGGGTATGTTCGCGAATTGTTGATGTCATTTATTTCTGTTGAACTTTCAGTTCGCGACAAATATTCGTGATGCCATCAACAATTGGAATTGTGGCACAAACAGATGGTTGCGCACCATAGTTTATGAGCGCGTGCCCAAGAAATACGGTACAATTTTAACATTTGCTTTGAGTGCGGTGTGGCACGGTTTCTACCCAGGCTATTATTTAACTTTTGCAACTGGTGCTTTAATGGTGACCTCTGCGCGTATGGTAAGTTCGTACAAATGCGACGAGTATGCGAGGAAACGTGTTCTTTAGACTCAAAGCACATCACATAATACGAAAAAGATTTTATTATTTTGAATTTCGTTTTTGCAGGCTCGACGTATGTTCCGCCATCGATTCCAGCAAACACGAATGACGCGCATGTTCTATGACATTCTTACGTGCCTAACAACTCGCATAGTTATGGGCTACACAACATTCCCGTTTGTCCTGCTTGAATTCATGGTATGTAGTTTTTTCCTTCATGCGAACTGGGTCCTAACAGAAGTCAGAATCTAATTATTATTTTATCGGTATAATTCCACTTCAACAGGGCAGTATTCAATTGTACCTGAAGTTTTATTTGTGCCTTCACATAATCGCACTAACGACTATTTATGTTTTGCCGACATTCATACGCGGTGAAAAACGATCGACTCAACAAACGCAAAGAGCCACTAAAATCTCTGAAACTTCAGAGACGAAGGAGCCTTTCAGAGTGGCAGCAAACGATGTTTTGTGCAAATCGAACAGCCAGTCCAATGAGGATCATCAACTTATGGAAGCTGCCCTAGTGTCGTCCCAAAATACCTACATGTCAGAACAAAGCAATATTATACCTCAATGCAGCGACATCAGCAAACCGCCCCAGCTACCTATTGTTGCTCCAGCCAGGGAAGCCATTTCCGTTCCTCATGATCAGTGCGAAATGGATCAGCTGTCGACTAAATTAATGGAGAAGATTGAAGCAGAGACAAAGAACATTGAAGAATTTATAGACAAGACAGTAACAGAAACGGTAACAGGAATCGTCGAGTTCAAAAAGGATTTGATGCGGGACTCTCTTCCCAGTGGGTTACGAAAACGTACATCCCTGGCTTCTACAATGAGCGATGTTGTAGCTGGAGCCACCTGCAAGCCTCAGACCGAGGAAGGTGCTGCCTTCTTGAAAAAGGAAATCGAAGTTATCAATGCCGTCGTACAACAGGCTAATGTGTTGCCAGCAGTCCTTAGCAATGGCCATGCAAAATAGTAGTGGTAAAAGCGCACTGCCGCCACCAGAATCGACGACATAACGACAGTTTTGACAGCAGCAGCGAACATGTATCAAAAATAATTACAACTTAACACTGTTCACGCTCATTTTACACAATACCCAGAGTGTGTGTCAAATGTATTGCAGCACTAAACACGCTCAAATGTTATCACCATCATCATTTTTATCATCATCCTACCCATCTTAATATGCTCTAAAGACACCTATGCACAAGTTTTACCAAAGGGCGCACAGGTTTACCCCAGATAAAACAGCTGTTCCTATTTAAAAACAAAAATCATTGTACATTGCATCACTAACTATATTATTCTCCATCCAATCCTCATCCCATTCGACTGTCATTCATATATACACATATATTTATATATATATAAATCTATATACATACGTGCATATAAAAAAGAAATGAAAATTAAAATTATTGCTTTTTCTCTTTGCCATTTTTTGTTTAATTAAATATGAAATATGTATGAAATAAGTATGTAATAACCCATCCGTACACTTGAATGGCATAAACATACTTTGGCGAAAACTCAGGATTTCACATTAGTATCGATACTTCTAAAAGTTATGTGTTTATCAATTGGTTGTTATTCGTCCACTCTGTCATACTGTGAACACACTATTATTTAATTGTATATACAGGTCACATTATATGCCACAATCCTTCCAATACCATGTAAGTAGCATGGTGTGCAATCACACAAAACACTGTCGAAATTAATTTTTGTTCTATGTTGATAGGTCTTCCACCAAAGTATATACAAATGTGTTAAACGTTAGTTGCTTTTAGATGTTTCAAGTCTTCTGAATCGTTTGTGATTGTTATTATTTTTTTGTAAACAAATTCTTCCTCCACAACATTGTCCAGAAACAGAAATACGGAAACATTAGAAGCCCACCAAATGATCAGTGATGATGTGTGTACCAAAAGCCAGAAAAGCGACCTAACCACCCAACCATACGAGAAATCCTTAATTGTGCATCATTAATAGCAAACACTAAAATTTTAACACTTCAAACGGAGAACACTAAATGTATTATTTAAGCAGAGTACAGCTGGTTAATACTAATAAAAATAATAGTAATACATATTTATGTTCGCCACGCCGAAGCAAGTAATTGGGCAAAATGAGAACAGTATATAATTTGATTATCTTTTAAATTTACAATATTAAGAAATTGAGATAACATCCTAATACGGAACACATCAAATAAGAAAATTATGTGTGTTATGTATTAATAAAGAAATTGTGAATGGAATCAGAAATGGGGTTTTAATATATCGGTTAACGGTTGATGAGGTAAGTAAGAAGACAAAATGTGATTCGTTTCTGTTTGACTAAGTCGAAATCGCGTATAACGATGGTCATGGGCTCCGCGAATTATGTCGTTATAAGAGATATTAATAAAATATGGGTGATATAGCAATTTTGAAAAATATATATGGATAATTTTTTTAGTCTTTACTCCCCTCCAACTAGAACACATTCTATTTAGTATATATCAGACAAAGTCTAGAAAAACTTTAAAAAATCGAGTTCAGCTTCAATAAGTTGATATTTTGTGTAGGCCCGCTAAGACTTTATAGGATATTCGTATACGAAGAATTTCGTCTAATTTGATAAACACGTGTTAGTTAAGCGGATGCTTAACAAATCGCGTCCTTTTGTGAATAATATCATTTAAGACGAACTGAATATAAATTAATTTAGAATCTTTTGGAGTGAATGAATGCTACCAATGTATTAAATGATATTATTCATGTTTACCGCATAATAGTTTTTTTCTCGTCGTAACACACAGTAGAAGGCATTTCCACAGTCGCAAGCGGAATACATTCGATAAGGTCGTCTAGTGTTAGTGGACTTCTCAATATATTTTAGCTTTTACACCTCAATGAGCCATCTAAAAAAAGTGAGTAGTCATCATTTAGGATAACACTGTTTTTTACTCATGATTAATATTCGTTTTACATTTTAAAATACCTTTGAAACAATCTACATTTATTAGTGGCAATAATGTTAGAATTGTACACTTGTGGACAAAACTAATGCAACTGAAATTGCAAAGATAATCGGCCATGTGACATGTTCCGAGAGTTTTTTAATTCCCATACTTTTTTAAATTCCCATGTTGTGCAAAATGGTGTGCTCAATTTCGATCGAAATTGCGGCTCGAAAGCATAGCTGTGTTCAATATGTTACGAAATGTGTTCAATAAAAAAACATATGTTTCATTGGAATTTGCACTTTGTTTAAAAAGAAAATAAAGAAAAAATATGCCTGCTGGCTTATTAATTGCCCTGGTTTCTACCAGAAAAAGTCTAATGATACTGGAACGTGTTAAAATAAGCGTTTATGGATATTTTGAGAGAAGTTGGTCCTTTCATACACAAGGGTACCATTCCCGAAAGCCTGCAGTTAGCAGCTACCTTAAGATTTCTGGTGATGATTTAAATATAAGTGTTGATCGCACAACAATATGTAAAATATTGTGGAGAGTAATGAAAGTCCTGGAAGACAAAGTGTGTGCAAGCTGTGGACAGCTGCAGACCAGGATCCAGCCATGATCCAGATATGAGTGCAGCTAGAAATGGTATACAAAATAGTTGGCTTCTAGGAGACAGGGGTTACGCTTTAGAAACATTTTTGATGACGCCCCATAAAGAAGTGGAGCATGGATCTTGTCAACATCGATATAATTAAGTGCACACATCTGCAAGAAACATTATTAAAAGGACTGTAGGAAATCTTAAAAGTAGATTTTTTTATAGATTCTATTTTTATTTTGATCATATAGTGGTTGAGTTGCCAGATTGATCTCAAAAATGTTACGCGCTGTTTTTGATAAAAGGAGCTCTTTTTATTTTCTTTAATTTTACTATAAAAACTAATGTAAATACTGTATTTTTTAAATAAATATTGTAAAAACACGTTAAATATTACTTCAGCGTTCTTTTTCAACTTGTACGTGCTCAGAAAAACACGTACGATCTATTTTCGTTTTCAATCCGCAAGGCTATATGTGCTCGAATTCTTAAAGATCATTTTTAAAAGTATTTTATTACAATAACATTTTTCTAATTTAAATTTTGACTTACTGCCAAAAAATTTAAAAATGGCTAGAAACGAATACAGTAAACCGATATATAACAGCTAATTACTAGTGATTGTGGAAATAATTTATCACAGGAAATTATTTTGGAGAAATATTCCATAAATAGATCCGTGATTTCTCGATTCATAGGTAGGAGGGAGGCTGCAAAAGAACATCAGTTCGTATTGATCAACAAATTGTAATAGTAATAAAAAATACCAATTTAAAAGTTCACCGAAATTGGTGAGAGGGTTATTGTTGGATATAACCTCAAGAACAGGGCGTGGAGAAGCATTGATAGCAGTTATATGACTGGATATCATCGGAAAGTCCACTTAGTTCTGAAAAATCGGAAAGCAAGATTGGCTTTCGCTAAAGCTCATGTTCATTGGAATTCGACTTAGTGGATAAATATTATTTACTCGGATCAATTAAAGTTTAATATTAAAGACACAGGAACGAAAAAAAAAATTCAAAAAATTAAAGGTTCAGGCTTCAGTATTGCAAGGGTACTGTGAAGTATGGAGGAGGGGTTAATAATGGTATTGGATTGGTATTATACAAATGTGTGAGAAGCCCCTTTGGTTTCCACCGCTGAAGAAAATATACCGTTTGCTTGGGTGTTTAAGCTTGACAATAACCTCGAACATACACCCAAACATATCAAAGATATGTTGCGGGAGTCCAAAATCAGGGTTTTATAATGGCCAACACAATTATCAGATCTTCATCCTATGGGAAAAATTTTGGAGTATCATAGATAGCTAAATCAAAACAGATACAAAAAAACACAACCTCTTCTAAAGTTTCAGGATGCGAGGATTAATATTTCTAAGGATCAATACCGCGTAGGTGTGTTGCCGTAATCAAAAATAAGGGTTTATTATTTAAAAGAAAAACACAAAAAGTTTTGACCAAACACAAATCTGGTCAATTTAGTTTATATATACAGTGGTGGTCACAGAATTAAAACATTTACTGTGGTAAACATTTTTTGACCAGCCCTCAATTCGTTTGAAGTATTTTTGAAAATTTTTTAATTCGGAACACTTCGATATACAGCACTTAAGAGATTTAGTGTGAAAATAGAAAATTATTGCATGCAATTTTTCCATAAATAACGGTTTTTATGAAAATACATCGACTTTGAAGTGGCCATATAATTAAAACATTGTGTGGTATTGTTTACTTTACTGCATTTTTTGAAAATATTTTTAGAAAAGCTATTTAATTTAGTTAAATTATGTAAACTAAGTACCGATAAAATCATTTACAGATAAAATTTTTTGAAAAAATCTGTAAAATCGATGAAAATTGCCAAAAATGTGTTTACTTCCTTGATACTAAAATAGATTAAGTGGAAGTTATTCGATTCAAAAAATATTATTTTGGAAAAATATTGTCATGTTCAATAGATTTTAAGTGTCATGAGTTGACCATCAATCATGCTGCTGTATGCCAGAAAACTTTACTCGTCAACATAAACGTTGATCTCTGTTCGTTCTGTTGTAACTGATATATTTTTTGATTAAATACATTCTGCACTACTCGAACAGTCGATTTGATATAATAAATACCAATATCAATCGATTTTTTTCTCACATACTGCAAAAATATTTCGGCCTTCTTCAGTAAAGGCTATTGAAATTGAATCGTTCCTTTAGGTTAATACCCATTTTTTGAGTTTTTATTTCAAATATTTATTTATTTTGAGAATTATTTATTGTTTTCTACTAATTCTAGCAATTTCTGGTGCATTCGGACCTTTATTTTCTATAATAAGGGTGATTATCTGAATGTAAGGTGTACTGTACAAATTTTTGGCAATTTTCATCGATTTTACAGATTTTTTCAAAAAATTGTATCTGTAAATGATTTTATCGCTACTTAGTTTACATAATTTAACTAAATTAAAGAGCTTTTCTAAAAATATTTTCAAAAAATGCAGTAAAGTAAACAATACCACACAATGTTTTAATTATATGGCCACTTCAAAGTCGATGTATTTTCATAAAAACCGTTATTTATGGAAAAATTGCATGAAATAATTTTCTATTTTCACACTAAATCTCTTAAGTGCTGTATATCGAAGTGTTCTGAATTAAAAAATTTTCAAAATTACTTCAAACGAATTGAGGGCTGGTCAAAATGTTTTTTTTCACAGTAAATGTTTTAATTCTGTGACCATTACTGTATATATATATATTTTTTTTTTTAATATATTGTGTTTATATTTTTTTTTAACAGTGAATAAATTACCTTTTTATTTCTGGAAAAAAACTTTCACCATAAGTTTATTTTTAAAAAAAGTTACAGTACATTTATTCAGTTTGCCATTTTAGTTGCTTTAGTTTGGCCACCAGTGTATGTCCTACTTCTACACACACCCACACATAAGAATACAATTGTTTAATAGCTCTGGTATACATTTCATTGATCATGTAAATTTAAACAAATTTAAAGTTTCTAATTTCGAAAATAATCTTAATATTCAATCTATGACATAAATGCGCACGAGTGATCGTTTCGTTCTATCAAGAGTAAAGTTCTACAATTGTATTTACACTTATTGCACTATAGAATAAGTATATTCCTTAATCCATATTATATACATAGTCGCAAACTTATAGGCTACCATCGAAGTGTCTTGGAATTGTTCGGGGAATGTTCTAGCATAAAGCCTCAGTACATTGTTCGCGGTCGAACTAGCTTTTACAAAAAACAGCACAAATGAAAAATATTTTCAACTACCATATGTAACAAGTCAAATACACACGCGTATACTAAAGTCTACAAAACCATTCGTAGTATTAAATTTGCTATATGAAAAAACTGAGTGTATACTCGAATAAATTTACAAAAAATTACAGTTATAAAGAATGAATGTGTGTACCCTTAAGAGATCTTAATGGAGGAAAAATGCATATAAATTATAACAAGTCGGCATACGTCCCTCCAAGTTTACAAAGAAAGCTGCCATAATACTATGATTGGAATGTAGCCTTTTCAAGCTGAAACTTTCCGAAGAAATGAAGTGTATTATTGGACCAAATTCTATTGCGACACATGATGTGTGTATTGTGTGCTCTGAACTTTGTTATGACAATTACTTCATTTCACTAATCCGACGATTCATTTGTTCTATCTAAATGACGTTGCGAGTACGCCAAGTTCATTTTCTATATGTAGTAAGTTGCCACGTTATCTTCGGTAAATATTAACTATGGTATTATGCTATCGTGAAAACGTGTCTCCGGAAACACGTCCTCCTCCATTTCGATGCGAGTATCGGAATGTCCCAACAGTGATTCGGCATCCTCTTCAAAGTTTCGCATGGGGTAGCTGAAACCATCACCGAAACTGGAAATATAAAAATTAATTGTTGGGTCATGTTCAGCAGTATACACAATTATGTTGTTGATGGCAAATTAAAAACATTTGGACGCACATATTTACATACATATATAAAAATTTATTTACGATAACAAATATTTACTATAACTGGTACAAAAGAAATACATAGGAATAAAAATTTCTTAGATGTAATTGCCGCATTGTATTTTTTTATTATTGCCATACCATCTCAACGTAGAAGTTATTAAAAATTAAAAAATAATGCTATGCTAGATATTAAATGCAAGCAAAGAAGCTATAAATTACTAACTATACATAACTAGGTTGTTCGAAAATATAAGATTGAGCTTAACAATAAATGTGCATAGGTTGAAATACAAATTATAGTTGTAAACATAAAATAGATGGCACTGCGCACACTATCATGCCACGTTTTGGCCATCTATGTCATTCCTTTCAAACTTGAATTTTGCTGTTTGATCGTGTCCCATATCGATAATGATACTTCCGTTGGCAACGGGTATAGTTGTGCTATTTTCGGGGACATTCTCTTCAATTGGCCCTGTCATAGTCTGTCCTTCTGTTTGAACTTTTGCCTCGTAATTGATTAATTTATCTGAAGCATCTGCAGGTAGCACTTCTCTAACGCGTGTCTCATCCATGGAATGGTACGAGATCGGATTTGGTTGCATCTCGGCCTGTTGATGATGATGGTGATTTGCGGTTGGATACTGTAGACCATCACCATCACTATGAAGAACAGATTAGAAAAATGTTGATAAATATTCATTTTGACAAGTGACGTCAGTATTAATAATTTATGGCGATTTGCATTAAATATTATATACAGTTTTTAGTTCACATTCAAACAATATTTGCCAATATGAACACATAATTGTGCTTTGAATGCATTCTTAGTATTGTTTTGTTTTTGTTTGTCTTAATTACGATCAATGTTTAGCACTATATAAATACAAGTTAATTGCAGGTTTCAGTCTGGCAAGGTAGATAGTAAGGTTAACTAGCCATATAAAAAATTTCGTAAATGTTTTTAATTTGCCAAAACCCAAATGTTAATAGCTATAACCATTTTAAATCATAATCCAACCAATGAGACAAGGAACTACACACACATATATATATATATATATATATATAAACAAATTCAGTTTTGGACACCCACCTTGAGTATACGGGTATGAACCAAAGTTTCCAATTATCTCCAAAAACTTCCTGGAAATTGGCAAATTTGCCCAAATTGAACCCATTCTTGTCAGCACCACCAACCCGAAATATGGGTGCCCGGAATGCTTCTGGAAATAAGAAAATATATTAGTCAAGATTTGAAAATGTACACGTTATTGATTTCAATACACACCCAATGTTGTTCGGTTCATTAAAACGAGGTAAATATGATAGCCGAATAAACTAACCAAGCTAATGGCAAACATTACCGATACAAAGAACAGAAATAGTATGTGAAAGCGGCCCATACCTCCCGAAGACAGTTCACCCTATTACAAAAAAAAAATAAAGATTTATCTCAATTCAAAAATCAGCACTTATTTTGGTCGTTTACCTTCCAAAATCGAATGAAATATTCCAATGATGTTAGAGCTACATAAAGGCAGTATAATAGCGCATATCCCAGAAATAGTACAAAAAACTTATAATTGGTGAAATTAACACAATTATTAACCCATGGACAATGGTGGTCCATCTTTAGTACACACGTTCCACAAACACTGCAGTGATGACATCGATCTGGTTTGATTATTCTGCATTTGTCGCAAAATCGCACGGATCCATTCAGTGTGCTTATAGAAAAAAAAACAAGTATTAACTAGGTGAATATGGTGTAATGAACATATTTACCGATTCGTTACAGGTAGATCTCGAGCGCAGTATTCCAAAACTCTTTTTTGTTGCTCCTGATTTTCTGCTCTGAAAAGTCTTTCGATTTCAGCTTCAGGTATGCGCCACTGAATTCAAAGGAAATACTGTGGAATAATTCCAATAACATTTATTACAAACACACTTACATTTGACGGAACAGTACCAACCGGAGTGAACACTGTATTCCAATATGACCAAAAGAACAGAATCGATATAATGTGGTAGAATATTAGGAAAATCACTTTCTCGAACGTATTTTCTATTGACACTGAAAATAATGTTCGAAGTTCATTTTAATGTTTATATAAACAAAAACAAAAAAATCATCCTTTCAATGCATTTACGATGCAGTGCATTGATATCTAAATGTAAATATTTCGAGATACACATCTTTTACACAATTCCAAACCCAAACTGAACCATTCAATTTCATATTATAAATAGGTACCCTCACCAATCGTCAAAGGTATGAATATTTGTTATCTTAAAAATAGAAAAATAGAGGAGTTGTGCGTACTAATGACTAATAGCACATAGATTACTTATATGTTTCTCAATGTGTGTACCGTCGACGAGTGGTATTTGTTGTCGGTGGATTAACAACAATTCCTTTTACACCACACATCATGCTGGAACATTTCTTACCGCAGATGAGGACACGTCTTCTTTTCATTTGACATGTATATAAATTTGAGTTCATGTTTTACTTACTAACACATAGCTCCACGACATAGGCATAATAAGACCATGCTATTACTGACGCTATGAAGATAACTGGAATCCACTTGATAGCTCGCATGCAGCCAGCACAGGGCGTGGCCTTCTTCCTCTCATAGTTGCTCATGTCCAGATTTTGGACAGTGAAATTCTGACGAAATGTTTTGTTACTTTATTGTGGGACGTCTTCCATTCACCGACCTGACCTGTTCGAGTTGAATGACGGCCTTTGCAGATGTTGTCGTATTTTAACCAAGCTCAGATGCAGCGCACATGGGTCTTCATAGAATTACGAGAAAATAATTTGTTGCCAATAGATATCCAGTGCCTAGAATTCCAAAGTTATTGTCATGCACGAACGACAAGGCTCACCTCTCAGCATTAGGACGAACAAGCCAATCGATATACTGATATATAGCTCTCATATACAATTTCGTACCAAAGGCAAGTACGAATGATTAATATTTACTTTAAATTATTCATTTGATTATAATTATATTTTTTAAATATATTTAATACCAAGATACGAAATAAGGAAAATGAAAAGCGGCAATGTTGCCACTGAGACAAGTTTAAGAATTTGCAATGTTGCCACTGAGTATTAAGAACATATTAAAAAGGAACTATGAAATACGAAAACAACACCAAAGAGGAAGCGAATAAAATGTTTGATGCGTAAACTGCAACATCAAATCCATGGCACAATAAATAGGTAGTCCATTTAGCGCAGCTGATGCACAGTGGGAAAAAATGCAGATCTAGCGCGCAGAAAATCAAAGTAGATGTTTTACTGTATGTTTATCGATATTTTGGATAAGAATAGATTTGGATGGACAATTTTAATTATTTTATGAAAAAATTTGGCAATTTTTTTTATTAACCCATTAAGCGCCGATTTTTTTTTAGAAAAAACTTAAATTTTTAGGTGAAAATTACTATTTTGAAGCAATTGAAATATTTTATAATAAGCAACATTTTTCGTTATAACTAATAGTACTCCTAAAATGGAAGCTTCTTTTAAAAATTCCGAAACATTTGGAGGGTAAAAAGTGGGTTAAGGCCAAACACTATTGTTATATATATATCTTTATTATTGTTAATATTACATATCTAAAACATTAAACTATATATATTTTACAAAATTTAGGCGTTACTTATTAAATACTAATCACATTCAGAATCCGAGTTTTGATCTGAATTAGTTGGTAGCATTGGATCCTTCAGTAGTTTAAGGACTTCTTCAGATAGTGGCTCACTATATCGATGGTTAAGAGATCAGAAGAAAATAGCAACCTATTGAGAACATCCCTCATTGTTTCCTAACGACTAATTTTTCTGGTGTACAGTTCCCTGTAGTTCCGAAAGTCCTTATTTCTGGATTCCATGGCTTCTTCAGACAACATTCCTATGGACAAAGCTGACTTCCAAAATGTTAATTGCTTTGCATTCGAACAATGCATCCTGTTTCATAATGCAACAGTACAAAATATTTACATTGCATAATATTTCAAAATGTCGCTGCCATGCATTTGCAACGCAGTTAAAAAGCAATCAAGCATCGGTTTTATTGTTGATGCATTGTTTGTTTACGAACACAAAATTAAATATCCTAAGAAAAGGAAGATAATGGAAGATTCTCAAAAGTAATTTTAGTAAAAATATTAATATGTGGAAGAAATAAATGTATTTTTAAGGTTGTTCATTGAAACGACTTTTTTTGTAATTAATTGGGCAGTATTAAAACACCTTTTTACTTATATTTAACTTTTATAAACACATCGAAGTTTGTCTGGATTTTATTTTGACAATCTGATAACTTACAAAAATATTGCCAAATAATGATTTACAGCCACGCTTTCCATACATATTTGTTTTTTCATAAAACAGCTGATTTGTTAGTTATACATTGCATCACATTCATTTTATATTGTAAATGTTTACAAAGTTCATAGTTGCAATGTTTGGTAACTTTGCATGTGTACGAAGTTTAAATACCGTAGTATTATTGTATACAAACATTGCATTGATACATTTTGGAAGTCAGCCATAATTATATCAGCCAATTTCCATGCTGTCGCTCCATTTGTATTTTATTCCTTCTGGCGGCCATCCATTTCATGTTCGACAAATCCCTTTAGCGTTTGCATAATCGGTAGCATTAACTCCAAGTCTATATAATATATATTCCTTTACATCAGAACCATTTTTAGATTTTAGCCAAACTTCAAAGAGCTCTCTGTGCAAAATTGAAATTTTTCCACTTCACTTGTTTAAGAACTAAAATAAATCACTATTCACTTGTTTATAACTTGTATAATCCCGTTCTTTGACACTTATTGAATGAGAAAAATCTATGAATGAACATTTGTTAAATGCGGATTTTTCATTCATAGGTAGAAAAATCTATAAATAATATGTATTTATGCATTCATAGGGGTTTCCATGTCAGTCATTGGAAACCCCATTACAGGTATAATAAAAGTCCATAAACTCCACCTCCACGAAAATCATAAATATAGGTAAAACAGTGTATATATGAATGTTACACCAATGATATTTTTCCAGGGTTCATAAAGTGGACCCTTTACCTGCGGTATTTTAGAAGACTCTTACAACCGATTTCGTTGTAATTTCAATTTTCATTTAGAAAGACATTTGTAATAAATGTATATTCAGTGCATGAGTTTAAAATCAACGTTTGGAGCAGGTTACTTAAATCCCTCATTTTCATACTCACACCCAGTACTCTGGAACCTTACGATGGACATTTTGAACTTGTTTTTTCTTATCTGGTATGCTGTGATATATTCCAAGTCATATTTGATGAATTATATCAAAAAAATTCACAAATTTTTAATTTTATTTGAACAAAACCTTAAAAAGCTTCCTACACAAAATTGGAATTTTTTCAAAAAATTGCCATAAATCAGAGAGTCGCAGGAAAAAATTTAGTATGATGTTCTAGACAGACACACAAGAAAAATAAAACAAAAATCAAAGTGCTGTTGAACTCCATACTAAACCCCTATTTTAATTGAAGGAATTAAAAAAACGGACCTTACATATATTTAGCCCGAAACACCTAAATTAAAATAACTTATGGGTTATATAACTATACCATTTAATTAAATACCAATACTATATATAAAAAATGGACAAAATTTTATAATAATATATTCACAGAATGAACACGACCATCGCAATATTATAGCTAAAAAATGCCATTTTTAACATTGGAAAAATTTTCTATTTTAAATGTACCGTTATTCCGTTCTAGCTTAAGGGCTAAGCAGAATGCTCGCGTTGAGCCATCCGTTGTGTTATGTGTTATCGAAAATACAACAACCACAAGGAAACGATAACACAAATGATCGAAGTTGTTGTGCGCTGCGCTTCGGAGTTAAATATATTTTAACTTTTTGCGTGCGTTAACGCGATAATAAAAAACCCTCAACGCGAACATTCTGTTTAGCCCTTTATTAATTCGGATCATGGCACAATGAATATGTAGTCCATTTAGCGCAGCTGATGTCTTGATTAACTGTCAAAGTGGGTAATTTCTATTTGAATTCGATGTGCAGTGTTGCCAACCATTTGAAATATTATATGGAAAAAATTGACAGATAATCGACACAAAAACAAAGGTTTTTGTTTTGATACATCACCTTATTATTGCATCATGATTCGGATTATTTTATACGGACTTAAGTACTCTCAACACTCTACTTTAAAACTGCATTAATGTTATAAAGTTTCCTTCAACTTCATTTTTTGATTTTCTGCGCGCTATATCGGTATTTTTCCCACTGTGTAATGTCTCTATTAACTGTCAAAGTGCGTAAATTTTTTCATTTTTTTCTGGCATGGTTAGGATAACCAAAATGACCTCCTTCTCCTACTATTTCTCCTCTCTTCCACTCTCTCTTCTTTTCCACTTTTCAGTTTCAGGTATCAAGGATGATCACAATGGATAATAGTCTCCGAGTGAACGGTATAATTATTACAAGGTAGGGCACAGCCAAGGTGTGTACGTTATCTTTGTTAAGTCTACCATCATTTGTATTTTCCACATTTATATCCGTAATATTTCCGCCGGTTCTTGAATCATCCATATTTGCAGTTATGACATTTTCTTCATCCCTCTCTTGTTCATTGCTGCATATTGGAACAATATTATTTTGACATTTTAATATCTCCCTTTGAAACGGAAATGTTGTTTCATCGAACTTAACATCACGTGCTGTCACTACTTTTCTGGTTGTCATATTCCAAATTTTATAGCCATTGCTTGTGTATTCAATCATAACTCCCTCCATGCTCTTTGAATCTAACTTCTTCCTCTTTTGGTCCGGTATCCAAACATGGGCTTTACATACAAAAATTCTTAATTTCTTTATATGTGCTTTGTTTCCATACCACAGTTCCGATGGCGTCACTCATCATTAACACTCCTAGTTGGAGTCCGATTTAACAAATATACGGCAGTCAAAGTAGCTTCTCCCCACATTTCTTTTGGAGAATTTGATCCTATCAACATTGTTCGAACCTTTTCAACTAAGGTTCTGTTGAACCGTTCAGCTACACCATTTTGTTGCGGAGTATATGCAATAGTTTCCTCAAGTTGTATTCCTTTCATTTTATAGTACTGCAATTGTTCTTTTGAACGATACTCTGTGCCCTGATCGCAACGTAAAATGGATATTTTTCTTACAAATTTTGCACTTGCAAAAGCTTCGTATTGTTTAAATTTGTCGAATACTTCTGACTTGCTTTTCATCAAACAGATAACTCCAAAATGGGTGAAATCATCAATGAATGAAACATAATATTTGCAACCATCATGAGTTTTTGGAGATATAGGCCCACATACATCGCTGTGAATTCTTTCCAAGACACGAGAACTATGGATATGCACACCCTTGAAGGGTTCCCGACACTGCTTCCCCTTCAAACATATGTCACACAAGCCGAAACATTTTACATTTCCCATACCCGTCACCATTTCCCTTCGATTCATTGACTCAAGGTCCTTTTGATTTATATGACCCAGTCTACAATGCCAAAGCCTTCCCTCATCGTTAGAACACAAATATGAACAGTTTATACATTTAATAAATTTAAGTTCAAAAACATTACCTCTTGGTTCAG